TGCCGGGGCCTGTCCCCGTGCCCGCAGCCCCAGCGCGTTGCCTAGAAGACGGGGCTGGGAGCTGGCCTGGAGGTCCCCGCCGGGCCTGGGGGCGTCCCGGGACCCCCTAAGTGCTTGGTCACCACGCTCCGGGCCTGGCAGCATCCCCAGCTGCCTTTCAGGGCCTAGGACCCTGGGGTTTGGGGTGAGGAGGTGTCTCTGCCCCCCACTTTGGGCCTGGTAGATTGAGGGGGCTCTCCCTTCAGGTCCTCAGATCCAGCCTGTGAGGCCAGCCCTTGCAGGCTGCTATTCCCCCTCTGTCTGTGGGCTTCGGTGACTTTAAAACAGCCCTTGATAGTTGCTTTGCGTTGGCTACTGGAGTTCCCAGCTGTGTGTGGGATGTGGATGGTGCCAGTGCAACGCCTGTGTTGGGCTGTGGCAGGGAAACCTGTGGTCAGAGTCAGTGTGCCTCTGTGGTAAAGGTGTTAATTTTAGTGTTACTAAGGCTCCTGGGCTTGGGGTATCAGAGGGAAATGTGCAATCCATAAAAAACTCACCTGTTTTGTTATGTGCATCTCACCTTGGGTCAATTTTCCTGATTCCTTTAAGAGGTGGTTTATTAAAATGTGGCCAAACAGACCAAACATGGTTTGCTTCATTGTTTAGCAGAACTTGTAAAAACCTGCATGTAATGTTTAGTGACTTAAATGCTTAGTGTTCAGAATTGAAGACTATTTTTTCATCCTGCTGGCAGGAAGAAGAAACTCTGTCCTTTATCAAAGAGAGCCTTGACAAGAGCGAGCAGCTTACAAAGAACATGGTAAGGAGATTCCTTGAAGTTCAGTCCTAATGTTGGGCCTGGGTTTACTTTTTCTTAGCAGAATCTGTTTTCAAGGCTGTCATTGTGCCCATCTGAGGAATGCAGCTTAATAAACCACTTGCTCTGTGCCTGCGTTTTACACTTCAGTGCCTGTTCAAAGGGCAAGACTGATGGGTGTTTCAATCCAAAACCTCCCTCCTGGGGACATGAAGGCTCCAATGAGCTGTTGGCCTTGTTTCTTTATAGTCTGCCCTTTGCCTCAGGAAGAGGTATTAATAGACCCCAGACTAGTCTGTGCAACAGCATCATGTTGTTGCTTCATAAAGTTAGATCTTGTTTGGTGTTTATTTTGGGAGTGTTCTGTTTAAGAGATAGGAAGTAATTATTGTGCTCTAATTGCTCATAAGCCCTCAGCTAGTATCCTCTGTCCACTTTTGCACTTGGTGTTTTAAGAAAGTCATAGAGGTACCACCAGAGAAGGATGGAAAACAGAACACAGGAGTGAATCTTGAAGGAATTATATTTTGGCCTGTAGAAGATGACATTGAGGCACCCTTTGTGAGCTTACTAAGGTTTTCCACCTTTCAGAAGCAATATCACAGTCTGTTTTAAAAACCAAATGTCTGTGGTGGAAAAGAAGGTTCACACTATACTGGTGCTGTGCCTTCATGTTGTGCATCTCATGTTTGGGTCTTAGTGGTATAGGGCAAAGTGGCTGCCAGTTCATGGTTTTCTTGCTCTTTTTACCTTGGGCACCTCCAGGCAGTTCTTGTGTATTTGTTTCCTGCTTTCAAGTAAAACTTTATTCTTTCTTATTACTGTCTTGGAATGTTTATTTTCACGCTTTACAGACAGTTTATTCAAGATTGGCCCTTCTCTGTATGGCAAGTGATCTGTTTCGTGGTTATTAATAGGAGTTAGGACATAGAGGGGTTAAACAGCCCACCTCAGGAGTCATGTCAAATTAGTAGCAAAGCCCAAAAAGGGAAGCTAGGACCAGAAGGTCGCTGGTTGCCCTGCTCTAACTACTGCCCTGCTGTATGGATCCATGTGGAAGGACACCCTCAGCTCTCTGTTTCTTTTTTGGTGTGTAGGTCTCTATCCTCTCCTCCTTTGAAAGTCGTTTGATGAAGCTGGAGAATTCAATCATCCCTGTCCATAAACAGACAGAGAACCTGCAGCGCTTGCAGGAGAATGTGGAGAAGACTTTGTCCTGCTTGGATCATGTCATCAGTTACTACCATGTGGCTAAGGACACAGAGAAGATCATAAAGGAAGGGTGAGTTGAGCAGCTAGACCTTGCTGGGGAGCTTCGTCCTACTGAACTTGTGGGTTAGAGGTAGGGGAGCTCACTCCACATACTCATCATAATGTTCCTTGTACCCTGACTTGACCTTCAGCAAGCCACAGAGGGCAAAGTCTGCTCAAACTCTGCACTGGTGTCTCTTCCATGTTTTGCAGATGTGCTACCATATGAATCTCATGAGCATTGGTGGCTTCCTCTGCCCTTTTCCCAAAGGTTCTTCCTGCTCTAGTGTTGTGGAGCCCGTTTTCAGTCTCCAGGAGGGTGTTGTGATGGCCATTTCTCTGGGGTGGGATGTGCAGCTTCCTCTACTTTCCCATCTGGGCCTGACTGAGAGAGGAAGACGAGTCTGAGAGTTGTGTGCTGCTCAATCATCAGTATGTCTGCACTTGCTGCCTGGATTGGGTGTTCTGCTGTGGCATTGACTGGAGGCAAAAGGGAATCCCATGATCTCCTCCTAGTTGAAGAAAAGGGAATTGAAATTTTCCTTGTTATTTTTATCCTGAGTTTGGTCTGGTGCTTTCTTGGTATCTTCTTTCTTTGCTTCTTGGGGCACTGCTTTTTATTTTTTGGTTTATTTTCAGCCCCACTGGGAGACTGGAGGAATACTTGAATTGCATGGACAAAATCCAGAAGGCAGTAGAATACTTCCAGGACAACAATCCAGACAGCCCAGAGCTGAACCGGGTGGTAGGTCCTAGGTCATGGGTCTGGAACTTGGTGTGGGTGAGAGGGAAACAGAGGTGGCCCTGCTGATTTTCCTCGTGCTGTGAGAGGTTGACAGGCGTGCTGCTGCCTGCTGAAGAAGGTGCTTGAGTACAGCTGAAGAAATGATTGTTTTGGCTTCTGTTTAAGTCTGCACTCAGCAGCATTTCTGCTTGTGGCATTTTGCACGCTCTATGCATTGTGCCTGTAGGACTTCTGCAAGCATGTCTTGCACGTGTGGTGGAGTTGTTGAACCTCCTCCTGAGTAGCTCTTGTTAGTCCTTCAACTGCTTGAGCAGAGTGGGAGATCTGTTTAAATCACACTTGAAGACTGAGCAACTCCCAGGCATTTTTTTAAATTGAATTCACTTTAAAAGTCTCTTAGTTACAGGTGTTGTTGGAGTTTGAAGAATGCAGTATTTGACAGTGGTTAGAAATGCTGCACAAAATATGTTCTTATGCAGAAATACTCGTGACTGACTGATTACAGGAGCCCTGTGCTGCTTCTGTCCTGCTGTTTTGTGCCAGAAATCCCTTTTTGAGAGGGGCAAAGAGTCCCTGGAGTCAGAGTTCCGCAGCTTGATGACACGACACACCAAGCCAGTCCCACCCATCCTCATCCTGGACCTGATCAGTGCGGATGATGAAATGGAGACGCAGGAGGAGATGTCTCTGGAGCACCTCCCAGAGAGTGTCCTGCATGATATCATCCGCATTTCTGGCTGGCTGGTGGAAAACGGCAGGAATCAAGGTTGGTAGTGCTGTGTCTTGTTCCCTTGTTGTTCTGTATCAGATGAGTGCTCTCCCAACTACTTACCACGTGTGGTTGAGACCAAAAGTAGGGTGTTGAGGGATGTGTGTAGCACTGCACAGCTTGGCTTGTAGATCTCACACCTTCAGCCATGAACCTCTGCTCAGCTGTGGGTGACAAACCATGAGTCAGGCTGCTGTTGGCAGCTCATAGCACAAGCAGAACTAGTGACTGCCTTAGTGGCACCTTTTAGGTGAGTAGTTCAGTCTCCTTTCAGTCACCTGAAGATCCTGCTTCTTTTTTTCCAGTGTTTGTAGTGAGACTGAAGTGATGGTTTGTTAGTTTGAACAGAATGCTTTGCTGGTGGATATGATGAAAGAAAGAGCTGTGTAAATAAAGCACATATTATCTTAATGCATAGTCTGTCCTGTAGCAGAAATCCATTTAACTTGGATCTGTAATACCTGCTGATGGAGCTGCAACTGTCTAGTGCTCAGGTGTTAGAAATGTGCAAGACACTGGTCACTTAATTCCCATTTGGGAACTATTTATGAACAGAGATTTTGCATTAAATATGACCAAAGGTGGGAGGAAAGCAGCACAGAAGACTTTCTTCAGTCAGTACAAGTCTCTTCTTTCCTGTTCTGCAGCACCAAAATCTATCTAATGCTTTATACTCCTTTATTAACTTTTCCTCTGAGAGTGAATGACATTGTTGACTTGTTACAGGAAACCTGTGCTTTCACATACAGATTGCTACTAGAATCACCCCCCAACTCATTGATTTACTTCTGAGTGGGGATTACTGTGCTCACCAAGTATGACGAGCATCTTTGAAAGCTTCTTAAGAATTTCTGAATGATCAAAGGCGACTCAAGCATATATAGCATATTTTGTCAGTCAGTTTGTATTCTGCTTTCAAATTATGAACACCTCATTTAGTTCCTGAGTGCCCTGAATCCTGAGGAGTGTGTAAAGTCTCTTGTGCTAGAAACTGACCACTTGAATTGACATTGTCTTGTACAAATGTCTCAAATCAGTTCCACAACTGATGTGCTCTTGGTAGTGGTGCACAGACTTAATGTTGTGTGTGGTGGAAGGGCTGGAATGAATACTGCAGGGGAAGGAAGAAGATGAAGTTTTTGGAGAAAATAAGAGAGGCTCTGGTTGGGAAAAACGCTTACTAGCATTGATGTGGGACCCTAAATAAGTTCCCTTAGGGGCACAGAGTATTTCAGGAAAGGTTTGTTTTACCATATAGTGTTCTCTGTTTGCTTATAATCTTGTTTCTACCTTGTCTCCTTAGATTTCATGACTGTTTACTTCCAAATCCGCTCTGTCCAGCTCGACCGCTCTATCAAGGGGCTGAAAGACCATTTCCGTAAGAACAGTTCCTCCACTGGGGTGCCCTATTCCCCTGCCATTCAGAACAAAAGGAAGGACACCCCCACCAAAAAGCCAATCAAGAGACCGGGTGAGTCCCTGAAGGGGGAGATCACTGTCCTGTGTATCCCCTTATCTGGGTGTCAAGCACTTATCTGCAGGCCTTCTCACTGCTGAGGTGGCCTCTGTGTCCAAGATGTACTTTTGGGACAGGAGCAGGGGTGAGATTTCAGAGATAAGCACCTCTTCTCTGTCCTGGATTCAGCACTGAGATTACAGACACTTTCTGTCTCTGTCAAGACATCGAGTCTGTTCTCTGGGTGATGTAAAGGGAGAAGGGGGGTCCTGTGTTCAGGGAGAGAAAAGGCCATTGCCTTACCAAAAGGGATAAGTAAAAAGAGACCTGAGAGGGCTATAAAAGGATATGATCTGAGACCACCTCTGCTCAGCCTATATGAAATATAGAATGTGCCACAGCAAAATAGAATCAGATCTGATAAAGCACATCACTTTAATAATTAGTTATGAATAAATTATTATTGTCCTAGGAAACCAAGAATTGGTCAGGAGTTGAGATGGGAGCTAGGCAGGTGTCTACAGAAATGAGATCCAAAGTTGTCTGAATCTTTGAAGGGCTGTTACAGCTTTGCCTCAGCCTGTCTGGCTGAGCTATGAATGTGGCTGGTGGGTTCTTCCACCTCTCCTTGTAATGAGAGTTTTGAGTGCAGAGCTGGAGTTCCCATCTCTGAAATGTGCCATCTAGTGGGAACACGGCCAGGAGGAGGGCCAGCAACAGCCAGCATGTACCTTCCACAGCAGCACAGTGATATTGTCCCTCTGTGTGTCACAGCACCCTGTTATCTCCTCTGTAATAATGATGAAGGTCAGAAAAGTTCGTATTTCTGTGGGTTTATCTGTCCAATACTCTCCCACCCTAGTATTTTTTCCTGTATTGTCCAAATATTCTTACTGAGTTCAGGAAAATGATGCAAAATGTGGGTAGGGACTGGGAATGGATGGGATGGGGAAAGGGAGAAAAAAGAAATACCCATTTTAATTATGTTGTGTTTATTTTTATAATCCTGATGTGAATGCAGTCCTCATCCCAGGTAATGTGCATCTGTGTGTGCGTGTGCTGGCCCTGGTGCTCACTCTGTTCACTTCTGTGTGTGGAGAAGCTTTGCTGGGCCGCCTCTCGCTAAAGCAGGGGGTGTGCCTGGAATATTTGGAGAGGGAGAGCTACCTGGGGAAGGCTGTGACATCCAGAGGTCACCCCTCTGGTCTCTTTAAAAAAACATCAATCTGTGCCATTGCTGCTGTGCCCTGGTGCTGTTCCTGAAAGCTGATGTGCAAGGTGCAGTTGGTGGATGCAGGCAGTCTGCAAATTTCAGTGGATGTTTCCTTGAAAATCACCCCACACTTGGCTTTCTTCTGGAGTTTTGCTGGTAGTTAACTGCATAAGAATTTGCAATTATTATTGCAAATATCTTATTATTCTGGTGGAAGACCTGTGGAGGACAATATTCTCCTGCTAAGGAGAACTAGCAATGCTGCAGATGGCAGAAAAAACAGCATATAAATTTACTCTTAAGCATGCTGGCAGTCATTTATGTTCAACTCCTGAACAATGGCTCCTGCCTAACAGCATAATTACAATAGGTAAAAATTATCTGTATTGTCCAGAATCTCTCTACTGGAAGGATGCCAGATGGGGATCTGTAGTTGAGCTGTGTGGAACTTGATTTACTGATGCTTCAGACTTGGTCCACAGTTCTCAGTTATCACCTGATACTGAAGATTCCTGGGTTTTGGTTGCTGTGAAGTCAGCAAATGTTTCTGAGCAGCCTGCAAAATGGTAACTTCTCCCCTGTGCTCTAGGTAAATAGTCAGAGGTGGAGGAGATTTATTTTTTTTCATGGGCAGATAGAATCTCAGAGTACAGAAAGGAGCCCACACCTTTGAGAGCACAAGCTTTTGTTCTCTACAAACAGGGCTCCTCCACAATGGATGCATTTGGGCATCCAAAATTGCTTGTCGTGATGAATGTCTTGGCTGTAGTTTGTCAGGAGGTTTTCATGTCTTTTTGTCCAGTTTAATTGGAGTTTGTGAGATTGGGTCAGGTAGAATATCCAGTGCACAGTCTGAATGCACTTACAGAGCTGTCAGTGTGCGGAGGAAAGAGCATTTCAAATGATCTATTGGGGTATTTTTAATCTCAAGAAAAAATAGTGGCTAATTTGTCTCCAGTCTTCCGTGAACAAGGACAGAGAACCAGATTGTAGCTCTTGAAGGACAGAGGTGGTTAAACCTCAAACACCAGCCACCTCTTATGGCTACTAAACTATACTTAAATGAAATTTAAATGGAGGAAAAAAACTAGTCTTTAAGCAGAGATTCACCAGTTTTTTTCTGCAGTTCCATCAGCTTTCAAGGACAGCTCTTGAGGTGGAGGTCTGATACCCTCTTTGCACTGGCACAGTGGCACTCTTGGTAGCAATATTCATCTGGTGGTGTTTGATTCCCTTACTTTTAGCCTTTTTTTCAATTATGGACAAAGAAATTTTTTTTCTGTGCTATTGCTTCAGTAAGTAAAGTCAAGTTCTACCAATTTGGGTTTCAGACAAGGGTTTTTTTAATGATTCCAACAAGTGAGTTGAATTCCTTAGTCCTTAAGGAAGAATATCCCAGTGCACACCCCAATGCACACTTCAACCTGTTGCAAGGGATAAATAACAAACTAAATCTGATGTGCTATAACTTGTTTACCCACAAAGTAAAGCTCAAGAGAGGCTACAGCTAAAAGGAAGGTGAGATATTAGGGACAGGGTAACAAGGCAGAGACCTGCCCTCTGCCCCAGGTACTATGTTGGGTTCTGAAGAAGATGCTCCATATCCATGTGTTGTTTCAAAGGGTCTTCATCTCTCTGTTAGTGCTTTGTTTGTTGATATACCCTGTGCTGTCTCCTGTTGTTACAGTGTGCAGTTGAAAATCTGACTGCTGGAGATGCTTCTAAAGCAGAATTATCTCCTCTTAAATGAAACCTGCCAAGTCAAGTTGTTGAACTGATGAAGCAATCTGTGGGCTTTTTTTTTCTCCCAACTTTGGTGTTTGAAATGTCAGCAGTCTGTCTCAGAGGGCAAACATATTCAGATTCCCAAATCATCTTGCTGCAAACATATGCATATAAAATATTGCTTCTGTGTGATGCCTGCAGACCCAGTGCTCTTTTGTAGGCTTGTGAGCAGCAGGTAGCTCAGAAGCTCTGCATTGCCAGGGAAGGGTAGGGCCAGAAGATGCTGGTAGGAGCACCCAGCCTGGCTGCCTACAAGCAAAAGCCAGAGAGCTTTAGCCAGTTCTATACAGACTTCTGCAGCTGGTGCTTAATAAAAGAGAATGTGTTGCCCTTCTGCTGGGTTAGAAGACTGCCTAATGGAAGAGAGAAACAGGAGAACAATGTGCACTTGGAAAACTGTGCCTCATGTATGCCCAAAAGTCACTTTATTTTACAATTGGGCCACAGGGGCAAAAGTTTCAGGTGTTTTTTTGACTTTTTGGATCTCTTTCAACTTACAGGAGAGCCCTTTTCCAGTTTACTTAATGTTCCAGCCTACCTAGCAGTGAGGTGCTGCTTGGCAGAATAAAGAGCCTCTTCCTGCTTCCCATCTTGATCACTCCCTAGCCTGAATGTGATGTTTTCATTAGTAGCTGAAATGCAGTCCCATTTGGTTTGGAGCTGCCTAATAGGGGAAAACAATCCTGGAACAAAAGCATTTGGCTTCCACTAGAATCCATTAAATCCTAATTACAATGCCAAGTAAGAGGGATACAGCAGCACTGAAGTGATGCCCATGAACACTGAGCACTCAGTGTGTGTCAGTGTAAACACAGGTAACTGCTTATGCAAATAAAATGCAGTGGAGGCATTTCAGCTCTCATCTGAGGAGAAACTGTCAGGGGTGGGCTGTGGAGACATGCACTGTGCATACCTGTGAAGTGACATCCTATTGACAGCAGCATCAGTTGTACTGTCTGCTTGGTTTTCACACCAATTTACCATATTTTTTAAATTCTTTTTTTCCCCCCTTCTCTCTGGATGTTTGAAAGTGGGAAAGATGAAAGAACTGGTAGAAGAACAGTACCTGGGTTGAGCTGCTCTGCATCAGCTGGGCCATGGTAACAGCAGTAAGGAAGAACTCAATGTTTATCTCCAGAGCTTACTACAGCCCTGCTTGCTCAGAGGAACTTGCTGTTGTGCCCAAGCTCTTAAGGTTTCTGGAAGTAGCTAAGAGTAAAGTGGAAGTGTTGGGTGTGAAGAGCATCAGGAAGCTTGGAAGAAGAGGCATAGCTCTCTCATTTGATCCTATGGGAGAAGCCAGGAGCAAATGCATCAGCACAGCACGGGTATAAGTCTTCCCATCTCCCTGGTGTGGGTCTAGAGGGGAGAAGTTTCCTGCTAGAAGAATGTTTTGGTTTGTTTTTTCCTTTCCTAAATGGTTGAGAACACTCTGAACTGGCAGAAGAAGAATTTTGCCAGTGAAACATTTACACTTTAGGAACCATGTTCTGTTCTTCAGTAAATGCACCAGGTTAAGGCAGCTTGGTAATTCAGTGGGAACTTCTCTCTCTTGTTTTCCCCCATTAGAGATGCACTGCCTGGGGGACTTGAAGTTTCCTTCCCCCTGCCATATATCCCTTTATGGGATGCAGCCGTCCTGCACCCCAGGATGCTGTTCTGCAGCAGTGTGTACTTGGGCTTCCCCTCAGGATAGTGATCCTCAGCATCTGGACAGCCAACCCTCATTTCCAGGCTGCACTGTGACGTACAGTTACTAGTGGAAGTAGGGATTTTCTGCATGTTTGAAGTGTTTATTACTTTAAAACAGAAGAACAAGTTTTAATTTTGGCAACAGCATTTTTATTTCTCGGATCCTTCTTCATTTACTCAGCCCAGTTTTCTTTCATCTGAGTCTCCTCTAGAAACTCCTTCTACCTTCCCAAAACTTTCTGCTCCCTGTTGTGCAGGCAACAGCAAAGCTGTGCTGTGAGAGGGTGTCCATGTGCTTGTGATAATTGTAGCTTGTTGCATGATGACTAACCTTTTAATATGGAAACAGTGTTTAGTCTTCAGTTGTCACATTAATGCTTTGTTTTGTGCTTTCTAGCTGTATATCCAGCATTGGCTTTTGTTCAGTTGTCTGGTTTTTTTTGTGTGTGTTCAGTATAAATCTTTTAACCCAATGTTATTTTCTTTTCCATGGTTTTAATTGATTTGTAGTTCCTTAGAAGAGAAGTGTCTCGGGGATTAGGGTGACTTAATGCAAGTTAGACATGGGTGGGCAGCATCCATTATTCTGTGATTCCTGGGATGGGAATTGCTGCTGCAATTGCTCTCTTGAGCCCAGTGGTTGTCACCCTTTAGTCGCTTTCTGTGACACCAGAGATCATTCCTTGTCTTGGCTGTGGGGCTCCTGTTGGGTCTGTGTTGAGCATGCTCAGAGAATACCCCTCGCAAAGGCACCTCTTTAAGCAGGCAGCTGCGATTGTGGTTCTGGGGAGCAGCAGCCTGTTGCTGGGCAGGAGTTGTCCGTACTGCAAAGCCCTGCTTCCCCAGCTGAGGAAAAGCAACAAAGGTGGTGTGCTTGGATGCAGAGTGCTGGCTTAAAGAAGAAACTCATTACAGGGAAGGGTGTTCCACTCCTTCCCTTCTCCGAGCGTGTTTTCTCACCCAGCCATACCACCTCGCCAAACTCATTTGAGCTCTCCCTGATTCCGTAACCCTGTCTGGAATTCATACCCCACCCTCAAAACAGGGAACCAGTCTGGAAATGTCATTGTTTCTGCACACTTGGACGTGAGTTTGGGGTTCACGTTCCCATACTGAGCATGCTCATTGGTGCCCAGCATCCTCTTGCTGGGCCGAGGTGACTTGCTGGTGGAGGGCTGGTGTTCTGGGTTTGTTTTCTTTCACTCATTTTCTAGGTCTTCTTGTCTCTTCTCTCTGGCTCTGGTGACAGGCACGATCCGTAAGGCTCAGAACCTTCTGAAACAGTACTCTCAGCATGGTCTAGATGGGAAAAAGGGGGCCTCTAACCTCATTCCTCTGGAAGGTAATCACAGCTCTATCTACTTCACCCTTTACTTTCTCTGTGTATCAGCTTTGCTTTTCCAGGTGGAACTTCCATTAGCCTAGTGCTTGGTGGAGAGCATTGGAGAGGTACAGCTGTCCTTGGGGAACCAAGGAGATGCTGGAGGGCCACATTATTTTTCTGAATTTAGTGTCTGAATTTCAAAGTCTTTGTAAACACGAGTACAGGTGAAGAGGAATGTTACCTTAAAGCAGCTGACCCACCGTAGCCACCTGGCTAATGGAAGCTCTGCTCTGATGACATCTGCTTGTGGTGTTTCTGTTCTCATTTTCTTTTTGCCTGGACTTTGAGACATTCCATTTCTTAGTGACCTTTCCAAACCTGATGCTGAAGTGGCAGACAACAGCTAGCTCAGCACATCATGCCTGTACATCTTCTCTGTGGAGACCTACCTAAATGGTAGTCTTCCATATTCTGATCTCCTCTGCTCATAGAAGGTGTAGCAGATAAGGGAGAAGAGGTTACTTGCTTCAAAGCATCTGTAAGACCTTTCTGCCTCCTGCGATGTCTACATCTGAAGTAGATCTCTTCAGCATCTACACTGTAGCCTACTAAATCCCAGATGGTGACTAAAATCACTCATTTGGTGGGAAAAATAATTCTCATGCTGAGCAAGAGATGGGCTTTAAATTTGGATTTGTAATGGTTGTGGGTACAAATTGGACTTCTGGTGCCTGCTGTCCCATTCAGAACTTATGGCAGGAGGTTCAAGGGACTCCTCTGGCCCAAGAAATTACTGAACTCACACTTCTCATCAGGTTTCAAAGGGTTGCTGCTGCTACATAGCCCAACAAAGGGATTTGATCAG